GATGGATGGGTGGGTGGATGGATGGGTGGGTGGATGGATGGGTGGGTGGATGGATGGATGGAGAAACAGACAGACAGACACATAGACAGATAGATGATAGATAGATACCCCCCCCCCCCCAAAATACAACTGGAAAAGAGAGAAATATACAAATATCCAGGTTTATTTAAACATGTTGGCTTATTTGCACATTCAGAAATAATTGCTATAATTTAAATCAGTGTTTCTCAACCTTAGCAACTTGGAAGATGGGTGGACTTCAACTCCCAATGCTGGCTGGGGAATTCTGAGCGTTGAAGTCCACCCATCTTCAAGCTGCCAAGGTTGAGAAACACTGATTTAAAGTGACAGCCGGGAAGAAAGTGATCTAACTATATTGCCTCTCCACCTTTTAAAATCTGCCGAGCCCAGTGGATGGGAAATGTTAAGATCCTTGCAAATGCTCAGGATCCTTGACCTTCAAACCAGATTTGGACTAGGGACTTCTTCAAAGGGAAGATGCCTCTAAGGAGAAAAGCCGTCCTCGGATCAGGAGAGCACGGGGTCTGTCGCTCTCCATCTTTCCCATTTCAGAAATGACTCGAGGGAACAAGAAGACCATCTTGGTGGAGACGACTGATGGTGAAGAGGGAGAGACGGGAGACCCCCCTTGCCCCCTGGCTGGTTCTTTTGAATGCCATCCTTAGGATTTGTCTGCATGTGTGAATCCATCCAGGCTGGAAAGAGCCATCAGTGGGCCTTCTCGGGATGCATTTTCCTAAGCAGCAGAGTCCCTTGGCGCAATGAAAAGTCAACTGTTTCAGGGAGCTGCAGGGGGCTGGGGAGAATCAACCATACGTTTGCCGTTGGAGGGACTGTATTTTCCTGAAAGGACTCCCTGCTTTTAGAAAAGTCACATATCAGGGTCAAACTTTTCCCCTGATCGCTTTTTATGCACAGAGAGATTGGACAGAAGAGAGGATCAGCCGGGGATTTCTCATCCCCAACTAGACTCTGAAGGGATACAGCGTCACTTTATGTGATGAGGGCGCTGACTGAGCCTGTTTATGAATATAAAAGAGTAGTGCCCGCAACAAAAGTGGTTTGGGCACCCTACCTAGGTTTCCATTGGCACAGGAGACACATTTAGCCGGAGCCATAACGGGGGTGTTATACGGTCACGCTCTGCACATGGCTGATTGCTGGGAAATTCCAGGACTGCAGATCAGCGACTGTCTGCAGGCGCCTAATCAGATAGGGAGCCTAAAGGAATTTATTTCTTGCTCAGCCAGGTGGGACAGGAAAAGCTGCCAGCCACAGCCATCCATGGCCCTTGAAGGAACATATTTACAGCGACTCTTTCCCTAGCTGAAAAGTCACTTTCCACCTCCACAGTTAGTTATCCGAGGCAGGCGGGAAGGTGCCGAAACGCACATCTCGGTGTTGGGCTTCACACCCTCCTGTCTCTTTGCTTTGTCCTCACGCCAGCCATTCTTGCCTCCTGTTTCTGCTACAGCCACAAACATCCTTCACAGCTGATGCTATTTTCGATGTGGGCCTGTGTGCAGAACCCGCTGGGTAAAAAATAAACATGGCACAAGCAGTGGTGAGCTGTGATGGTGAGAACAGTAGCAACATATGGTCCTTTGTGAAGCCTTGCCAAAGCTGAAGCAGTGCTATAACACACACACAAACACACACACACAGGCCAGTTACTCCTATTCCCCAGTGCTGGGCCTGCAAGGAGACCTGATTACGGCCTGCCCCGAATTCAAGTCAGCTCAGGACCCAGAGCCTTTCACTCCAAGTCGCGTTTCCTCTTTCTTCTCCCTGGGCGAATGGAAGGGCCGCTGGGCACAAGAGTTGCCTTCTCTTGGCTGATCTGGGGATTTGCAGAAGCTCTCGGCTGCCTCCTCTTGTGTAGAAATCTCCAATCCCCTGGGCATGGCACAGACATTTGGAAAGGGGGGAAATGGTGCTTGGTTGTAATCCAGGGGGTAGGGCAGCCCTGGGGGTCCCATCCTAATCTGGAATTGGCTCAGTCTGCCTGGAGGGATCCCACTGGAGGGATCCAGCGGTCGAGACACGTTTGGGCATGTGCTTTGCACCAAGCATTTGGCTCTGCAAGGAAGGGCTGCGTGGGGTGGAGAATTGCCCCTGCTCTTTCTCCTGCCTGAAGAAGGAGATGTTTTCTTCTGCTGGCTTCAGGGGACTGATGGTCCAGGGTGCTGGGCAATCTGGGCACCCGAGAACGCTGGGTGAGCGGGCCTTGGACCCCATCTGCGCCCTCAACATCACGCAGGGACCTCTGCTCCGATGAAGCCAGCAATGGGCAACAGCGGACCCCTTTTCCCCCCACTGTCACTGTGGGCACGAAGAGCATTTTCCTAAGCTCTGGAAACCTCAGAGCAGGGCTTTGATAAGGGTTTTTTGTTCTGGATGGCACAAGAGGAGAGAGTTGGATTCAGACCATTTCCAGTCCTGTGGTTCAGGATTTGAAAGACAGCCTCGGTCAGAGGCTTTTCTCAGAATGCAAAGGTTGACGGGATCTCAGCGATCAACCGGTCTGGCCCGCCCATAAAACTGGTGTTACTAGGTTCCCTCCCCCTCCATCCACTGGCTGTGCCACGGATGTCAATGCCCAACAGGCCCTGGAATGAGGTCAGAAGAAAGTGGTGGCACCTTGAGTGAACTTTTTGCTCCGACCACTCAGGCTGGCTTCACCTGACTGAGGAAAGACGAAATGCCTGAGTTTACACAGCTTGATAAACCTGGTTAGGATTCCCTGGGGGGGGTGGCATGCTGTGTGACCCCACCTTGTCAGGTTAGTTGATGGCTCAGTGGGTTCCGTGGCCTGAGAAAATGGGCTAATTCGGCAACCCAGCTCAGCGTGTTGTGTGAACGTGCCCTCAGAGCTTGGCTGCAGGAAAGCGTTGGTACCTGCAAACGTAGTTTCCTCGGCAGGAGTCCAGCGGCGTCAAACAGTTTGGCTTCTCCTTGGCCTCGTAAGAGCAGGTGGGGACGATTGTCTGCCTGCGTCGCTCGGCGCAGGCTGTGTCGGCACAGGGGCAGAAGAGGAGCTCGTGTGTGTACTCGGGGGGCACCCGGTCGAAGAACTTCCGCAAAGCCTTGTGGCACTTGGAGCGATTGCAGGGATCCGCCCGGGGCCCCCGCCGGATGCAGAAGGAGACGTACTCGGTCCGGAGCCGCTGGCACATCGCGTCCACGTTGCAGGCCTTGGCAGCGTCCAGGCAGCGGTTCACCTGTGTCACCTCGTTTTCAGAGCCTGCAGGGCAGAAACACACCAGATACGATGGGGGCAATTCCAGGCCATCCTACGGTGGAAGAGCCCTTGAGGTCATCCAGTCCAACCCTCTGTCCAGGGCAGGAATCGCAATGAACGGATCCCAGGCCCGTAGCTGTCCAACCTCCCTTTGGTGACATCCATTTCCTCTCTGGAGACGCTTTCTCTACCATTCAACCAGAATTTGCCTTTCTGTCACTTAAATCTCCGATCCTGCGACCGCCGTCCAAGGCAAAGGTTCCCATGGGGGTCTCTGTGGGACTGCCACAAATATCCAGATGGCCACTGAGTGCAATTGCAAGCACCATCTTCACTTTTTGGGCTCCCTCCCTGCAGACCCTCCTGTTTCTGGGCTTTGAAGAGGGCTATCACGTCCCTCTTCAGGGCTCAACACGCCCAACAACTTCAAACTCTCTTCATGGAACTCAGCTGAGGGTTGATGTGTTGGCTTTCAGCGAGCCAGGCACCATTCCAGGTGCTGACTTTTTGAGTGAAAAAGTCACCCAGGTCGTAGGCTCAGGATACCTACAGGATCAACCTAGGAAACCACTACAAATGTTAGATTTGGGTGTCCCCAATGAATTGTAGAAGAAGACAGTGGGAGGAGGTGCTACAGAGCAGTGTTTCTCAACCTCGGCCACTTTAAGATGGGTGGACTACAACTCCCAGAATTCCCCAGCCAGCCATGCTGTAGTCCACCCATCTTAAAGTGGCCGAGGTTGAGAAACACTGCTATAGACCACAAAGTGTCACTTTCTGCTCAGTGTAGAAAACCGAAAGCCTTCCTAGCAGAGTTCAGCCAGCCTCAGCTTGGCGACCTCCATCTGATGGAAGTGTCTAATGGACCATGTGGAGAACCCATTTCCTGGTGCCTCTGTAACCTTGAACCCAACTCTGCAAGTGGAAAGCAGAAACCAGGATTGATCGGTCAATTACCAAGCATAATGATATTCCTAATTATGGCCCTTGCAGAACATATGATGCGTCCTCTTGGAAACTACGGTAGCTGTCCACCTTCGTCGGCGAGGCAGATGGGAAACCCAGCCGGCCTTGCTAACCAGCTTAGAAAGGATCTCAAGGAAGGGAAAAGATCTTTGCTGTTCTGAGCACATCCCCAATGCATCTTTTGTACAAAGGGACTAGAAACGGGCTCTCTTGATTTCCCCAGGTTGCGACAGCCGGAGGGTGAGGAGGTCGAGGGGAGAATCGCTTCCAACGCCTTACCTGCCGTGATGGACGCCAGACGGACATAGTCGAACCCCCTCACAAAGGGTTCATAGGGGGAACTTTCCATGACGTTCATGCCTAAGGAAGAAAAAAACAAGATAACTATGGAAAAAGAATGCCATTGCCTTCCTGGTGCATATTATTTACATGTGCATTCATGAAACCCTGCGCTCTGCCATCAGGCTAAGAGGGAATCATCTGGGTCATCTTCTAGCAGTGATGCACAATTAATACCAGATTACAAGGGCCGTTTAGATCCATAAAGGGGACAAATTAAAGCCCACTGACCCCTTAGCTTTCTTGGACAGATTTCAGATGCCTTTGATAAGCTCTCCATGTAGACCAGTGTTTTTCAAACTTGGCAACTTTAAGATGGGTGGACTTCAACTCCCAGAATTCCCCAGCCAGCCTGCTGGCTGGGGGATTCTGGAGTTGAAGTCCACCCATCTTAAAGCAGCTGCAGTTGAGAAACACAGGTCTAAGGAAAGGTGGCCTTCCGTGGAAATCAGGGGTGGGGTCCCCTGCATCAAACAGTTACGGTGCGAATAAAACAATCAAGCCGAGTTGATGGCTGTGTGCCAACAAGGATGATAAAAACGAAAAAGCTGAAATCTTGAGAAGTGCATATTTGGGGAGTGGGGGTGGGAATAACTGTTTGTCTCCCGCTCTGAGAGAGGCGAGATAAGGAGAGCGTTTCATGAATGGGTCCAGGCCCAGGGACCAAGTCAACCGATACCCCCTGCTGGATCTCTAATGCCAAGGAGGAGGCCAGAGCAGGGATCTCGGACATTGACCTGAATAAACTGGTGCTCCGTCTGCTATTTTGGTGTTTCCCAACCTTGGCCACTTTGAGATGGGTGGACTTCAACTCCCAGAATTCCCAACAACGTGGAATTCGGGGCTTTGAAGTCCACACACCACGAAGTTGCCAAGGCTGGGGAACACTGCACGATTTGCCTCCTGAGCCTTCCGCAATATCCTGGCTTAGGGTTCCAGGGATCTTCACTTGGTTCCTGAATTAATCCATTCCTTGGCTTCATACTGTGCGCTGGGGTGTTTCTATTCTGCAAGATTTACACCAGTTTGGTAGATGGATGAAGAAGATGAGGGATGGGTGAGTTTCTTGGAAGGCAAGCTGATCACATTTTTAAAAAAAGCTTGCTGAAAGAATGTCTCACCCTTCCCATATCATCTCTCCTTCCTTCCTTCCTTCCTTCCTTCCTTCCTTCCTTCCTTCCTT